TTTTTTTTTTTTTTTTTTTTTTTTTTTTTTTGAGTATCTTTCAATTTATTATTATTTTTTCTTAATTATTTGAATTATTGAAATTATTTAATTAAATTATAAACTATAGGTTCTACCCAATTAATTTTTTTCAGGACATTAAATTAAATTTTTGTATAGCAATTTAATGGAGACGTTTGTAATTTTAATTTATTATTAATATTTTTTTAAAAAATATATAAATTATTTTATATCGAATAATTATTGTCAATAAAAACACCAAAATTGAAAAAAAAAAAATCATAAACCCAACTAGTTAAACTATGTCATAATTTTAATAAAATAAAAATAAAAAAATTAATTAATATAGCTAAGCAAAATAAAATCTCTAATTATTTTAGTACATAATATAATTAGTAATAATGGTGTGACAAATAGATTATACTAATAAAATTATAAAACTAAGATAAAGTTATAAATTTTATTATTTTACCAGAGTGTATAGATGCATACTATATATTATATTCGCCAAAGTAATAAAAAAAAATAAATAAAAAATCGGATATTTATTTAAATGTTGACAATTTTTTTTAAGAAATGAAAAATAATTTTATCGGAACAAGACATTACTTACTCATTATAATTAAATATTTAAATCTCGAACATAAAATAATTAAATAATTTTAAAAGTATTTAAATATGGCATCACAAAATTATATATTTTACAAGTTATTTATGTTTGCACAAATACTTTTTAAATATATATAATATACAAGTTTTTTATTTTAATTTTTAGATTACTTTTAATTTTATATTTTTAACGGTCCTTAAACTTTCAAATATATTAAATATTATAATTATAATTTTTAAAATTTAAAAAATGGAAATTAAATTAGTTAAAAGCTGAAAACATTAATTTTTAATTATTAGAAGTACAATTATATTTTTCAATTTTTGGATAGTAACCAAAAATCTCCTTTGGCTGCAGTTACAGTGGAGAGAAGAAACGTAAAGAGGAACCTACTGCCAGATGGAGGCCGCTGATTGGTTAAGATAAATAAATAAGGTAGGTTGGCAAGATTAATAATAAAGTAATTTGGAAAAGAAGAAAAAAGCGAAAAAAATAATAATAATAATAAAATAATAAAAAAAATAAAGTAAAGGTTGATCGACCTGAAACCAAGGGTTAGACTTCAAACCCTTTACTAAGGTTAAGATTTCTGACACTCATTTTGTCTTATCCTTATGTCCAACTCAGTCGCCTACCAACTCTTAATTATTTTAATTACAATTATGCATGCATATATACATATATGTATGCATATATATATATATATATATATATATATATATATATATATATATGCATATATACATATATGTATACATATATGTATTATCTTTAATCTTAAAACCGTCTTTAAAAGTATGTTCCGAGAGTTGAGTTGGGTTATAATAAGTTTGATGGAGTTAATAAATTGATGTTTGGGACGTTTAGTTTTTGAAGTCGGAGTTTAGAAAGTCAGTATGCTCACATTTTTTCAAATACGACTCGAGATTCGAGTATACACTAAAGTTAGAATGACATGTTTTTTTTTTTTTTTCTAATTTTTGTAGTTATTTGATAGGAGATAAATATAAATTAATAATTGTACTTAAATTCGTATTCTAATCCAAATGATTGATAACAATTTTTTAAATATCCATCATAAATTTTATATTAAAAATGGATCAATTCATAAATAATATTAGTGAATTTATATTAAATTACTTTAAAATGCATTTAATAATTAAAAGACAACAATAGTGATGAAAATCACGTTTTGAAGTATAAAATTAAATATTAAATTCACCTTTCAATTATTATGTTTTGAAGTCATTTTAAATAATATTTTTTAAACAATTGGGAATAAAAATTTAAAGCTTAAGATACAGTTATTAATTATTTGGTTTCTATTTTTTAAAATTGTGCTTATAAATATTATTTTGGCTTTTATTTTATTATCTATCTTTTAAAAACTAAAAAAACCTAAAACAATTATTTTTAAAAATCAATCTTGTTTTTACAATTGAACTAATAATTCAAATAGTCTGATTATAATTTGACATTCAAATTATCGTTTAGAAAAAATATAATAAAATCTGGACAATCTGTTTGACAGTTTCTAGGGCTGAGATTGCACTGTTTGACAGTTTCTAGGGCTGAGATTGCACTCCGAATTAGTGGACTAATCCGCCCTAGGTTTTCTTCATCCTCTGCAACAACCCAAGTCCATTATTTGTAGATATTATTTGCTTCCGTCTGTTACGTATCGCCGTTAGTTTGTCTGCTTCAATCCGTTACATATCGCAGTCACTCTCACGGTTTTAAAACGCCTGTTAGAGAAAGGTTTCCACCTCTTGAAAAGAATGTTTCGTTCTCCTCCCCAACTCTGTTGAGGATTGTTAGGCATGGGAGTCCACATTGACTAATTAAGACGATGATCATGAGTTTATAGATAAGAAATACTTCTCAATTAGTATGAGGCATTTTAGGAAAATCAAAAGCAAGACCATGAGAGCTTATGTTTAAAGTGACAAAACCATACCATTGTGGAGATTGGTGATTTCTAACCAACAGATATGAGATCAGACAATATCTACTAGTACTAGGCTTAACAATGGACTTGAGTTGTTACAACAACAACCCTAATTCTCGTTTTTCATTACAGAATTCCCGATCCCGATCAGTAATTTGGCGAATTGCCGCCACGTTAGCCGCCAAAAGAAGCAGTGCTCGGCGGTTCTGAAGCTGTCGGCAGGCAAGGGTAATTGAATCAAATGATTAAATGAAAAAATGGGGTGGTTAGGCATGTGGCGAGTGGGGCGAGGCAGAGTTTTTGAGGAAGGCCAGAATGCTTAGTTGTTCACTGTTCCCCATATAAAGAAAAAAACAATCGGAGCCATTGATGAGCCAACAGGCTGTTCTTCTTGTTTTGTTTTCGGCTCAACCAACATCAACTACACTTCTCTGTAAATTCTGTTCTTTCTGTAAGACGTCCCTGTCACATAAGATTTTGATTCCAATATTGTTAGCCTTGAGATCGAAGAACGGTACGATATTAATGTAAACATAATAAATCTAATCTAATCATTATCGTTGCTCTCTCTTCTTTGGGTTCATTCCGATCCATCTAAACATAGTTCATCTGGTTCAAACTCATTTGAAGATGTCATAAGTTTGAATCTTATCCCTCCACTTTCTCTAGTTCTAAAAGTTTTAATTTAACCTTTAGACTTAACTAATTGGAATTGAATCGAAACTATAAGGAATCAATTGACTGTAATAGTCGTAGTACCGGTTATGGGTATTGTACTTTTTTGGATTTTCTCTTTTGAATTTCTCCTCAAGCAAGTCGACCGCTAGTAGATATTATCTTTTTTGGATTTTCTCTTTGATTTTTTCCCCACAAAGTTTTTAAAACGCATATGAGAGGGAAAAGTTTCCACACCCTTATATAGAATACTGCATTTACCTCTCCAACCGACGTGGATCTCACGCTGTGGTTCCAAAATCTCTCTGCTGTAATTGCTATCATAACCATAGGACAGATATCCAGCAAAGTAGAAAAATAAATCAACTAAAAGAAGCCACGAACTCTGTACTTCGGGATTGATTTCTGGATGGCTCATTATTATTACCATTGACTTCCAACGAGACAGTGCAATAGAATAACTTTAACATCAAGTTTTTTACCCTTCTCTTTTCCAGTGAAGTTAATTCTAAAGTTTTTTTTGACTCGCATGCTGAGGTCATAATGTTTTTGAATTCTAAATCATTCTCTCATGAAAATAGTAGCAGTAGAACAATTATATATTTATATACGATAACGGTCCAAGTCCACCATTAGCAGATATTGTTCTCTTTGGACTTTATCGTTCGGATTGTTCTCTTTAGGCTTTCCCTTTCATACTTCCCCTCAAGGTTTTTAAAATGTGTCTTTTAGAGGTTTCCACACCCTTAACCAATTTGGGATCTCACAATCCACCCCATTTTGGGACCCAACATCCTCACTCGCACTCGTTCCCTTCTCCAATCGATGTGGGACCCTCCAATCCACTCCCTTTCGGGGCCTAGCGTCCTTGCTGGCACACCGCCTCGTGTCCACCCCCCTTCGAGGCTCAGACTCCTCGCTGGCACATCGTATGATGTCTAGTTTTGATACTATTTGTAACAGCTAGTAGATATTGTTCTTTTTGGTCTTTTCTTTCAGACTTCACCTCAATGTTTTTAAAAAGCGTTTGCTAGAGATAAGTTTTCACATCCTTATAAAGAATATTTTGTTCTCCTTCCCAACTGATGTGTGATCTCACATATACTATTTTTATCAACTACCAGCTGAATTCTTAGGTTGACCAAGTCAAATATTGCAAGTCAGGTGGGCAGGAAGAAATTACTTCCAAACTTAACTCAGAGTGCTTTTTGAATGAATAAATTATTATAAACATTCTTTGAAATTTAATCTCTTTTAGAAGCTTTCTCATGGGTGGTTGGTTGCTGCTTCAGTTTCTTTTCTGTCTCCAATCTAATGTGTAGGAAATTCTTCAGTTTGAAGACTGGTTTTTCTATACTTTTACGGGCACAGACAAAAGGTAGTTGTACAGAACTTGTATCCTACGGTGGGTGAGAGGTTTTACACTGTTAGTTTTTTGCAAGTGAGGTTTGGTTTGAATTGGCAGCCTTTTCAGTTCCAGATTGTTGAGTTTGGTGAAGAAAAAGCGAAAGGAGTGACAAACAAGAAACCAGACAGCAATTTTAAACTCAAATATGTAAAAATGTTGTAAGGCAATATATAGGGTCATATAGTAGAAGAACCTGTAATTCCATTGTCAATGGATGAGGCGGAAGCCATTAGGAAGCTTGTTGCAGCTAGGCAGCACTTGAAAACCAGCCTAGACAAGTCAAGAGACATTGCATCGGCACTAGCCAATGCTGGACCAAGATTGAGAGACAAGGCTCGAAGGCTAGCAAGTTTGGAAGCCGAGCTCGTTCCGATTCAGAAATGCAACTCTTTCGCTGTTGGAGACCAGATCGATCATGTCGTTGGACTTGCATCCGCACTTCTTAATGTTTTCAACACTGTTTCTGAACTTCAGAAGTCACTCATGGCTGATTCTTGTTCTCAACTCTCCAGTTACCTCTCGGTCATGGAACGGTTCGAAAATGCATTTGAATTTCTTTCTGATAACTGCAGCCTTATAATTCAGTGGTTGGAGGGAATTGTCCAATTTGTTGAAGACAACAGAATAGTCAATGATCAGCGACTTCTCAATGTCAAAAACTCGTTGGAAAATCTTCGTGAGTTGCAGGTGGCCGAGAACAATGTTCGTATCGATGGAGGGCCTCTCAGTTTGGCATTGAACAAGCTTGAATTTGAGTTCAGGAGGTTACTAAGGGACCATAGTGTTTCTCTTCATCTAGCTCCAGCCCTATTGACCAGTGAAAACCAAGACTGCATTGGTTTCTCACTATTGCCAGAATCTATAGTTCAAAAACTGCAGTTGATTCTTACTAAACTGAAAGCCAACGATCGAATTGAAAACTGCATATCGATATACATCGAAATTCGAAGTTCAAATGCTGAACTAAGTTTAAGAACTCTTGGTTTGGATTATCTTGAGACGTCAGTCGATGAACTGAGCAATATGCAGAGCATTGAAGATCATATCAACAGATGGAGCAAGCATCTTGAGCTTGCTGTGAAGCATTTATATGAGCCTGAATGTAAGCTTTGCAATGACATATTCGAGAAGATCGAACCCGAAGTCAGGACCAAATGTTTTGCTAAGATTGCATCACAGTCTGGATTTCTCCCTCTCCTCCAATTTGGGAGGAAAGTCACCCAAACAAAGAAGGACCCCATCAAGCTCTTGAACCTACTGGACATTTTCTTGGTTCTAGACAACCTAAGAACAGACATTAACAAGCTGTTTGGTGGGAAAGCTTGCACAGAGATTCAAGCTGCAACAAGGGATCTCGTAAAACAAGTCGTAAACGGCATATGCGACGTTTTCTCGGAACTTCCAATCCAAGTTGAGTTGCAAAGGCAGGGCTGTCCTCCAGTAGACGGTGGCATTCCAAGCTTGGTAAGCTTTGTCACTGATTACTGCAACAAGCTGCTTGGGAACCATTACAAACCAATCCTAAACCAGATTTTAATCATCCATCAAAGCTGGGAAAAGACATGCCAAGAAAACCTTCTAGAGAACCAAATTTATCTAATCATAAAAGAACTTGCTCTAAATCTAGATTCATGGGCAAAAGCCTACCAAGATATGTCAAAGTCCTACTACTTCATGATGAACAACCACTGCCATTTTAGCAATCTAAAAGGTTCAAAACTAGGCGAAATGATGGGAGATGAATGGTTAAACGCACACAGCCAATACAAGGAATATTACGCAGCGCTTTACCTGAGAGAAAGCTGGGGAGAGCTTCTCAGCCTTCTAAATCAGAAGGGTCAGCTTCCATATGAAGGGGAGAAATCGAGAGATATTGATCTGTTGAAGAAAAGGGTAAAAATGTTCTCTCAGGCATTTGAACAAACATGTAAGAGGCAATCGAAATGGGTCATTTCAGATGAGGGTTTGAGAGAGAGAATTTGCCTGCTTTTAGTGCAGGCGATTGTGCCGGTTTATATGAAGAATTTCAAGGCTTTGATCGAACAGGATCGAGGCGCTGCTAAGTATTTGAAATATACTGCTGAGAGTATGGGGACTATGATCAGCTCTCTCTTTCGACCAATGTTGAGTGTGCAAAGAAGCCGTGGTCACACCCACGCTCGCTTCATTACCAAAATTAAGAGCATTGTAACTCATCAGTTTCGCGCCTCCGTCGCTGCGCTATGACTTCAATTTGTCTGTAGCGTGAGAATCGGATCAATTCGGACTATTATCTCAAGTAATAAAAACAAAGAATTTAGATCTGTATGTGCTTTGACCATTTTTATCAAGTCAACTCAACTAACTCAAGAATTGCAATCCAATTTTATCTTATCTTACCTTCAAGATTATTAAAAATATTAAAAATTATGATTTTTTTATCAAAGTTTACTGATAATTTTATTATTAATATAATATGTCCGGTATAAAATTTTAAAATAATTAAAAAAAAAAAAACTCCACACCCAAGTATTAATTACACGATCTTGACTATCAACTACAGATTGATTGAAATTGAAACCATTTAAGTTGAAAGCTATAGTGCTAATACCTAAAGCGGTGAACCAGATACCTTCTATAGGCCAAGCAGCTAGGAAGAAGCGTAAAGAACGTGAGTTGTTGAAACTAGCATATTAGAAGATCAATCGGCCAAAATAACCATGAACAGCTACGATATTATAAGTTTCTTCCTCATGACTGAATCTGTAACCTTCATTAGCAGATTCATTTTCTGTGGTTTCCCTGATCAAACTAGAAGTTACCAAAGAACCATGCATAACACTGAATAGGGAGCCGCTGAATACACCAGCTACACCTAACATGTGAAATGGGTGCATAAGGATGTTGTGTTCAGTCGGGAATACAATCATGACTCAACCAGAAAATAGAGGTTTTGGTTATGAACTATATTTGGATTGCTCACGTCATCAATCCAACCAATCCGAAATTTTAGATTAGTCTGAAAGATTTCTCTATCCAAGGTCGTGTAAACCCATGTTGATTAAATGTGTGAAAATTATACCAATTATTTAAATATATAGTCATTTATTTGTCCATCCATCACAAATTTAATTTAGAATTTTTTGAGATCTCATATATTTTTAGAATCTTCTAGAAGCACGTGCCCATAGAGATTAGGAGGCCCATTACCATTTAACCGAGCGTCTCTTTTGGCCCATTAAGCCCAAAGACCATTTGTCGGCCCACCCTTTCCAGTTAAACCACGGGCAGATCGGCTGAACTGAGGCATCATCGAGGACTTTCTTTGAGGCGCAGAGCTAGAGAGAAACTGAGAAAGAAATTTGCAGAGAAATGGCGTCAAATGCAGCGGTGCCCTTTTGGAGAGCGGCGGGGATGACATACATCACATACTCAAACATTTGCGCTAATCTGGTCAGGAACTGTCTCAAGGAGCCTTTGAAGACCGAAGTTCTTAGCCGCGAGAAGGTTCACTTTTCCATTTCCAAGTGGGCGGACGGCAAGCCCCAAAAGCCCAGTATGCTCTCTCTCTCTCTCTCTCTCTAATTGATTTTTTTTTTTTTTTGCTATTTTTTTTTCATCGATACATTGATCTGTTGTTTATTCAATATTTTGTTTTCTTGGGATAATTCGTATGGTTGATCGTTGAGGATTTCGGCCAAATTTCAGTTCTCTTCAACGTGATATGAGGATCGTACAATAATCGTTATAGAATAGGGATACAATTCGCGGTAGTGATTCTCTAGGGCTTATAGTTTGCGTTCGCATCTATGCGTATCGTAATTGTGTTAGGGATTGGTCGCTTCCATATCGTGCAAGTCATTTGTGTGCTGGTTCTTTGTCCCTTGATTTGTAGTGAAGTATCTCTTTTCTGGATACTCTTAATTTTCACAGTATGAAGTTAAGGATTTACTCATAATTCATGAATATCCAAACCTGTTGAGCAATACCATTCTATTGATTAACTTGATGCCTGTATAACTTACTTCCTCTGCCAATGGCAGGTTAGACTTTTAGCTTGGTGGTTTTTGGGGGTTATATTTTAGGGGTGATAACTTTTTTTAGAAGAATTTCTGGGCTGTTGTTGAAAATCAGAAAAACCAATTGATTAGACTAGAACAAATCAAACGGATATCGGTTGGCATGAAGAAGCTGTCGGTGATCAGTTTTGATGAATCAAAGATCGGACGTCATTAATTTGGCCTACTTTGATCAATGGTCGGTATCCGCATCATTTTTACTTCTACACCGCCGTAGTGTTGGGAGGGATTTGTTCAAACATTAGCTCATTTTGTTTTTAACGTATGATGGTGTAATAGCGAGTTCTGCCTAGCTATTAAGTCAGTTCCAAACGTTCGAAGTGTAGTTACTACATTTAGATCGGAGCTCATAATCAATTATCCACAATAGTCTTTTGGTAAGAGGCATAGGATTTTCTTCTCCATTTTTTATGTTGTAAAACCCCAAATGTCTGGGATATACATGTGTATCGTAGCACTGGAAACCTTGCATACTCCTTGGTTGTCATTTACTTACAAATATTTTGTGCATTTTTCGCTAGTCTTAGGAAAAGTGAAATGTTTGTAGACAACTTGACCATTGTGTTCTGTGTGACTCAAGCTAGTTGTATGGCACCACACAGATTATTCTTCAAATGTTTCACAAATAGTTTCTATGCACGTTGAACTCTATTGTGACGTATGAAACTTCAAAGTGAATACTGCATTGCTCAAGTTTGATACTTTTTTGGATGTTCGATTATTTTCCTTTTTACTTTTTGCTACATTTTTGTTATAATAACTGCAAAAGCCTATTCTTGACGGAAGGTGTGAATTTCAGCCATTGTAACTGTATTTCTAGTGAATATTTATGAGTTGTAACTTTTTTCTTAATCTCTAATCTCACTTGTGTTGAGCTTTTTGAAAGAATAGCGTGCTGTAAATGTACCACATCAAGCAAGTGATAATCTCTTCCTTTTCGAACTTTCTAAAACTTTTGGAAGCGTTTTGAATTGATCCATGAGGGCTTTTATCTTTGTTACATCTCAGTTATTCGGTCGGACACACCCGAAGCGTGAAGGTGATGGGCGGTCAATGTTTTGAAGTTGCTTCTGTTATCATATGAACACTGGTGATAGGCTTGAGTCATTTTCTGGAATCAAAGCGTTTATGGAAATGGATTGATGAATCTTCTGGAATTTCCATGAACTTGCGAATGTGTAATAAATTTGTTGCTACTGATCAACTATAAAGCTTTGTGCTTGATTTTTTCTATTCTGAATCCTCCCACTTTTCACCACATCAAAATTTGGATCTCTCCATAAATAATTGTGGCTTATATTTTAGGTTACCAATTCTCATACCGACAGGTGTTGATGGGTCCTGTGTTGTATTCAACCACTTCCAGCGGAGGTTGAACCAAACACAGCGGCCATTACCAGGAAACTTTCCATTTACTTGAAGAAATGTATAATAATGGAATAATCATCCAATAATAATTACTTCCCCACCCCTCATTTGTCATTGTCTACCTATGTCGTCTGGTGTTTCTTGTCTTCTAAAATAAATAAATAAATAAATAAATATTTATATTAAATTATTAAGTTTTATAAAAATGCCTAAAATATACATTTCTTATAAAAGTCGCAATTTGTAACCCCCACAAAAATTTACTTTTTATGTGACAGCTTAACGGTACAGCCCTGACCGTATCCCACAACATCCAGCTGACAAAAATAATGTAGAATATTTAGTAGGGGCAATAAAAACCGATGAACCAAAACCAGAACCAATCCGGTTCAAACCGATCCCATTGCCATATTGGTTCGGGTCGATTTTCGGTTCTTTGGACGAGCAAACCTGATGAGTAACTAAGGAAAGAGTCGTGCTGTTTATTCTCTTCTGCTCTGGCTGCCCCCTTCTCGTTCTTCTTCAATCATCTTCTCTCTGAACTTTCCTTTTCCCCCTTTCCCCTCTCTTCCTCTCTTCCTCTCTTCCTCTCTTCCAATTTCCCTCCCATTTCTCCTCCACGGCGTCCTTCGATCTCCCTCTTCCTCCTTCTCTTGATCTGATTTTGAAGTTCGACTTCAATTGAGCCATCAGGTTTCCATGGCCGCCGCCAAGACCACTCGGTCCAGAGGCACGCCTGTCAAGGATACTGGCGCCAAGTTTGAGGAGGGCATCAGTTTCTTCAGGTCCGATAAATTTGATGCCGATTCCTATGTTCAAACTAGATGCTCTCTTAACGAGAAGGTTCGTTTCATCTATCCATCTCATTTTACCAATTTTTTTCTTTCGGTTCAAGTGTTTTGTGTTTATCCTTTCTCGGTTAGGTGGGGATTACATGTCATCGCGATGCTCGCTTGTTTTTCTTAAGCATTTTGTGGATATCGGCTAAATTTAGCTTTCGTTTCCTGATTCAATTGGTTGTGATTTGTTGTCACTCATAGGGGCTTTCTTTCTAAATTTAATAGAGTTTATTGTTCCCATCAAATATTTAAGATTGTAATATGTGAAATCCTCAAACTTTAGTTTTTTTTTTCTTTTCATTTTCGTTAGACTTTTTTTGGCAAGTGTTACTGCTGCGGAAGATTTAGAGAGCTTCTAACTATAAATAGATTCATCATGCATGAAAGTGAAATTTCACGGTATATTTTCCTTTGCGCTATCACACCCATCTTGTTTTAGTACGATCTTCTATTGTTTTTGTCCATCTTGTGCATCGTCCTGACAGCGGTCATATATTTACATAAAATGTCAGGCCATACTGTCAACCTTATAGTTATAACGGATTGTTGAAGGAGTTCATACTTGATTCATATCATATGCTTTGAATCAAATGATATTGTCAAACGGAATAATATGTTTCGGAAGCAAAACCACACAAATTAATTAGAAAGGAGATGAAATAATATACGTTAATCAAGGCTCTTGTGGTCTTGCTTTAAGGACGCTTGATTAACAACCATCATTCGGTAGAACATAGAAGTATTCTTCATTTCCCTTGTGGCTATTTCATTTATGAAGTTTACAGTTGTTGCAGAAAGAAAAACTCATATTCTAGATACTAGAAATCTAGCTTACAAAACATTTCTGATTATTGAGGAAAGGAGACTACAGAATAAGAGTAGAATTTGGAACCGAACCAAAAGGAGGAAGGTTGTAGATTGTTGGAGGAAACTATGTTTGGACTTGGGAAATTTTGGAACATTTGAAAGAGCTTTGTTGGGAACTTTGAAAATTTTATAGCCTTTGAGTATGGAAGTTAATTCTATTTACTGGCAGGAGATGAAAGACTGTTTTTCTTTTCTGGTCCTTTTAAAAAATATAACTTGCAGTAAGTATACATTATTTTCAAAAACATCGCCACATTTCAGTTCATGATTTGACAACCTTGATCATATGCCCTTTGGTCAGTTCGTGTGATTAATGAGCTTGTTATTGCCCCTACATTACATCCACTTCATTACTTCATGTTTTTTTATTTATTGTCTTATATCATGCCAAATAGACCTTTATTTGTTTGACGAATCTCTGATGTCAAGTATCTACTGTTTCATAGGAAATTAAGCAATTATGCACTTATCTTTGGGATTTGAAGAAAGCTTCTGCTGAGGAGATGCGTAAAAGTGTCTATGCAAATTATGCTGCCTTTATACGGTAAGTTGTAACTGGCATTCGATATATTATATAAATGTAGAGTTGTTTGAAGGATGGAACCAGCCGATCCATGTGAGGGAAGATTTTATCTTTTATTATTACGAGGGATAAATTTAAGATGTGAAGTAATTAATTAGTTTGCTAGTTAATTTGAAGAGAATGTGGTGCACTGAAGTGTTGCAAAACCGCGAGTTGCAAAATATATAGACACAGTGAACATTGAACAATATATTTTGTTGAGGAATAAACTGAGATAAACCCACAAAAAGTTGCAGAGCGCACTTTAATGTTTTTCTTCACTGTTAATTTTATTCAGCGTAGTAATAATTTATATTGATGTCGTGCTATTTGCTGACAGCACATCAAAGGAGATATCAGATTTGGAGGTGGAGCTCTCGTCCATCAGAAACCTTCTGTCTACTCAGGCTGCTTTAATTCATGGTTTAGCTGAAGGGGTTCACATTGATTCTGTGTCCTCCTCTGCTTCTGAAAGCACAACTCCAAATGGCTTTCTAGGTTCAGGGGATGACAATCCTTCAGATATTGAGAAGTGGTTAGTGGAGTACCCTGATACTTTGGATGTTCTCTTAGCTGAAAGAAGAGTTGATGAAGCTTTGGAAGCTCTTGATGAGGGAGAGAGAATAGTTTCTGAGGCGAAAGAAAAGAAAACCTTGAGCCCAGCGGTAATTATGTCTCTTCAATCATCAATTGCTGAGCGGAGGCAAAGGTTAGCAGATCAGCTTGCCGAGGCTGCTTGTCAGCCTTCTACTCGTGGTGTCGAACTCCGTGCAGCCGTATCAGCACTCAAGAAATTAGGAGATGGACAGCGTGCTCACACTTTGTTACTAAAAGCACATCTCCAAAGATATCAGTACAATATGCAAAGCCTTCGGCCATCCAGCACTTCATATGGAGGAGCCTATACTGCTGCCCTCTCCCAGTTGGTTTTCTCAGCCATTGCTCAAGCTTCTAGTGATTCCTTGTCTATTTTTGGTAAAGAACTTGCTTATTCTTCTGAGCTAGTGGTGTGGGCTACAAAACAGACGGAGGCTTTTGCACTTCTTGTAAAAAGACATGCTTTAGCTTCATCTGCAGCTGCTGGAGGTCTCAGAGCTGCTGCAGAGTGTGTTCAAATTGCTTTAGGTCATTGCTCACTATTGGAAGGTCGTGGTTTGGCACTCTGTCCTGTGCTTGTAAAACTTTTCAGGCCTAGTGTTGAACAAGCACTAGAAGCCAATTTAAAAAGAATTGAAGAAAGCACAGCTGCCTTGGCTGCTGCTGATGATTGGGTACTAAGATATGCTCCGACAACAACATCCCAATCTGGCCGAACTTCTAGCACTGCTCTTAGTAATACTGCATTCCAACATAAATTGACTAGTAGTGCTCACCGCTTCAATTTTATGGTCCAGGTAAACATTCCCACCTAATCATTCTTTAATGATATTAATGTGGTGTGCTGATGCGTGGGGTATTTGTGTTTATATTCTTTTCTGGCGATTGTTCTGACATTACTTATTATTGATTCGTTGTTCTTTTTGGAAAGTAATATATACTTGACAGGGGAGATGTGATGATAGTGGAGTGGAGGACCCTTTGTAACTAAGTGGACGGGAAGTGGGCGAGTCTAGAGAATGTATGAAAGGTGTATGTATTTTATGTGGCTAGTCTGTGGTAGGGAGAAATAAGGAACCCTGTAATTTTCCTTTTCCTTTAGGTCCATACTCTTTTCAAAATTGAACTAAGTGGTTTCTGTCAATATGTTTTATGTGTGCGAGTGCGTTTTTCTTTAGGGGGGGTGGGGGGAGGGGGTTGTTGAATGAAGTTGGATAATATGTGTTTGATGTTGCACTTTGGATGGCATATTATCTTTCATTATTTCATTTATCTTATTGGTACGATATTCCTCTTTTTTTTCTTTTCTGGGTGTTCAAATGTTCCCCTTGCAGGATTTTTTTGAGGACGTGGGACCTTTACTTAGTATGCAATTAGGCAATCAAACTCTGGAGGGTTTATTCCAAGTGTTTGACTCTTATATCAATATGTTAATCAAAGCATTGCCTGGTATGGAAGAAGAAGCAAATTTTGATGGTGCGGGAAGTAAGATAGTGCGCTTAGCTGAAACAGAAGTTCAGCAAGTTGCTCTCTTGGCAAATGCATCATTGTTAGCGTATGAACTATTGCCTCGTGCTGCCATGAAACTGTCCCTGCCAACTCAGACTGCTTATAAGGACGATCCTCGCCAGAGACTTTCAGACAAGCAAAACCGTCATCCAGAACAAAGGGAGTGGAAAAGGCGGCTAGTTGGCTCTGTGGATAGATTGAAAGATACTTTTTGTCGACAGCATGCGCTTGATCTGATTTTTACAGAGGATGGAGACAGCCATCTCACTGCTGAGATGTACCTGAACATGGGTGGAAATATGGATGAAGTTGAATGGTTCCCATCTCTTATATTCCAGGTACTTCATGTGATCCTTATTTTGTGATCGGATTCTAGTATAATATGTTGGTTAATTTAGTTCAATTTTACTTGCATACTATGTATCATTACATCTGGTCTTGTTGTGACACTTATGCTTATATGTGCATGCGAAAGTTAGACTAACCTTTGTC